TCATCATGCAGGAGCTCAGATTCCCTCTTCCTTCTAAAGCCTGCCTCCTCCAGCCTTCTCTGTGGGCCTGGCGTATGCTCACCACCCAGGACAAGCTCATTGGCTCAGCTCACCTACTGAGGTATTTGAAAACCTTAAAAAAACAACAACCAACTATCAATTCTGAAAGGCCTGGCGTTAGCAATTGATTAACTTAGCTTGTTTAGTTTAATGAGTCAATTTCAAACTTTGTTAAAGCAGCAGGACCTGTTTTCTTTTTCAATGTAAAAATGTACCAAGGAACACTGGTGTCGGAAAGGGATCCAGTGGGAGCTGCTCTTTCTGAAGCAGAAGCCACGTGCTCACCCCCTGCCCGGCCATGCTCTCCCTCACGAACGGCCCCAAGGCACCTGCGGAACACCCCACCCGGAGGTGGCTCTGACATCACCCGAGAACACACAATTTAAAGTAAAGCCCAATTAGCATGTTTCCTAAGTGGAAAAGGGGCTGGGAGGTTGTTTTATCCGTCCCCAACCCTCTTCCTGCTTCCCTGTCCCATGCCACCCAAACAACTTCACAGCTGAGGAAAAGGAAAGGCCAGCTGGAGGGAGTAAGACGGGGCGGCGACTGGTCCAGAGAGGATGACTGCTCCCAGACCACCTGTCCTGGACGCTCCGGGCGCGTCACTGAAGCTCTGATGCATGTCCACGGGAGCAGGCAAACCGAGGGACCCCTGGATCAAAACGCACGCCACAGCTTGAACGCACGCACCCAATGCTGCCGAATCCGCTGTTGACATAACTCCCGTGATGAGCCTGTAGGTTTCTAGTTTGTTGCCCAATTTAGCTGACCTCACCTCTCGCAGCCCTGAAACTTTGCACCTTTACCACAGCTACGGTGGCAGCATGGGACCAGGAAGCAGGAGGTCTGGGCTGGGTCCCCGCTCTGCCCGTGGGGCCTCGGGCAGGTCGTTTCACCTCTTGGGGAGCTGCCTTCCTCCTGAGGATCTGAGGACTCATGGCCAGGCAGACACTCTGGGCGTGAGTTGGGCACCGGATGAGGGCTCTGATGGCCATCGGACCCAAACTCGCTCAACGAGAGACGGGCAGGGCTGGGCAGGCCCGGCCCAGAACCGCTCTTTGGGACCGCAGGCCGCACTTCCCCAGCCCCCG